AAATCCTAACCCTAACCCTAAATCCTAACCCTAACACTAAATCCTAACCCTAGCACTAAATCCTAACCCTAACCCTAAACCCAAACTCTAGCCCTAACCTTAACCCTAACACTAAATCCTAAACCTGATCCTGATTCTCACCCTAGTGGGACAGAAGCTCACAAGTTCGTGCACAACTGGCTCAAAGAGCGACTTCTCCCCAATGCCTGGCAACTCCACACCCTTACTTTGCTCTGCCGTCCCCCACATGCCACCACTGTCCAGATTTCAGCACCTTCCTCACCCACAACTGTTCTAAATGTTGTTTAATTCCACCTTCTTTGTAAAAGAATAAAATGGCTCCCAGGCCTCGGGCTTGCTCCCTCCTTAGCTGGGAATCTAGTTCTGCATGTTCCCAGTGACCTAATCTGGGCCTGTTCTGATTCCAAATTCACAATGATCCTCCCTCGGGGCTGCTTGCCCCGGCTGGTTCCAGCCACCTCCCAACATCTCAGAGGGGCCGGGAGAGGCCTTGGCCTTCAGCCCCTCCCGGCACAGCTCTTCTCCACCCCTCCCATGCTTTCTCCTGAAGAGGTGAATGACCTCATCACTACCCAGAAACCTGCTCCACCCGCCCTCCTGCCATCAAGACACTGCCTTCAGCCCTTCCTCCTCTGTCTCTCACTCTGTCACTCCCTCTGTCCTCTTCAGACCAGATGCTCCTGGACACCGAGGGCCTGGATGCTGCAGGAGCCTTCTCCAGGCTCATGGCCGCTGGCCCAGGATGGAAATGACCCCTCCTGGAATTTTGCAGTGCACAACCTGTAAAACCATTCCCAGCGGTCTGACCACCTGCACCCCACCCCCTCACCTGCCCTTACAGGCTGGCCCTTCCTCTCACTCTAGGCGCTGGGTTGCTGCCAGAATGGCCCTGCAGGGACATGGGTGAGCACCGGGCTGAGCCTGGGCCGTGTGTAGTAAACGAGAGACCAGCCAGGGAGCAGGAGGGTGCCAACCCCCAAAGAGAAGGAGCAACATACAATGGGGACTCCTGCTGGCACCCAGCTTCCTGCTCGGGCACCTGAACCCCTGGCCCCATTCCAAATCTTCTCCTTGACTCTTTCTTCATTCACCATGAGGGTCTAAAAGAGGAGACATTTAGAAAGAGAATCTGGAGAGATGGTTTCTCCTCCTCAGGGGTGTATGCACATGTGTGGGAAAGTCCCCGATACCTTAAGCCTAGAGAGAGGGCTTTTCAGGGGATACTCGGGGAGCTTGCAATGGGCCCTACTGTGGTGGGACTCAGTGTCTAGGTGCCCTGTCAGATCTGACAGAACAGGGCCGCAGGAGAGGGGCTCTGGGCGGGCTGGCCCGCACCAAGTCTGACATGGCACAGGGTGCTAGTCTTACCCACAAAGCAGACCTGGGCCACACTGATCAACAAGCTGACCTGGGGTGTCTCAGGCCCTGAGCTGGGCATGAAGGGGTCTCCAAAGATCCCAGAGAGAACCCCAGGCAAGAACGGGAGCATGAGAACTGGCCAGGCCCAGGCAGTGAGGCTGGCTCAGGACAGCAGCCACTGAGTAAAGTCTTTGCTCCCTGCCCCCCTGCCCTGCCTCCTCTTCCCCAGCTCCGGAGGGCCAGACAGGGAGTTCACAATTAGTCACGGCTTTGACTCCTATACCAGATGGGTTACTCCAATTTTACAACTGGAATAACATTTGGCAATTTGAAATGATGATAAGGCCTCTTTATTATCCAAGCATGAGCAGGCTAGGTGTTCTCCTACTTGAGCTGTAGGAGATAAAAATAAAGTTGCTTTGTGATTCTATCCCTGGAGTCATGCCAGTTCAGCTCATTTGTACAGAGGCACATGGGCTCTCAAAGGTGGGGAGGGTAAGAGAGGGCCTGGAGGGACAGGAAGGGCAGGGCTGGGCCAGCTCATCCTTGCCTCTGGATTTGGAACTGAGCTGCCCTGACCAGGCACTCTTTGGTGAATGAATGAAGGCATTCACACCTTCCTCACCTGAACATGCTCTGACCCTAGGTCACCTGCACATCAGCCCTCCCTCCTGTGACCTTCTCTCCAACTCTCTCGTTTTTATTTTATTTTGTAATGTGTTTTTATTGCTGATAGTATTACAGATATCTCCCATTTCCCTACCCTTCCCCCCCTCCTGCCAGTCCCTACCCACCCCCCAGGTCTTCATTACCCTACTGCCCATATCCATGGACTATAAGTATACTAGAGGCCTGGTGCACAAATTCATGCATGGGTGGGGTCCAGCCGCCCCTTGGGATGGGGGCCGATTGGGGCCAGGCTGGCAGGGGGGAGGGGACGCAGGAGGTTGGCTGGCCAGCCACACCCAATTGGGGTGAGGGTGGGGCCAATCGGGGCCCCAGTCAGGCCAGTTGGCCATCACAGTGCGCGTCATAGCGACTGGTCGTTCCGGTTGTTAAATCATTCTGGTCGCTTGGCTTTTATATATAGTATAAGTTCTTTGGTTTATCTCTTCTCGTCCCCCAACCCATCGAGGTATGTCAGTCTGTTCCATGACTCCCTGCTTTGGGTCTTATTTTGTTGGTCAACTCATTTTGTTCATTAGATTACGCAAATAAGTGAGATCACGTGATATTTGTCTTTCTCAGTTTGGCTTATTTCACTTAGTGTATTTTCCAGGTCCATCCACGCTGTCCCAAAGGATAAGAGATCCCTCTTTTTTACAGTTGCACAGTATTGCATAGTGTAAATGGCCCACAGCTTTTTTACCCATTCATTTACTGATGGGCACTTGGGCTGTTTCAAAATATTAGCTATTGTAAATAACGCTGCTTTGAATACAGGGGTGCATATATTCTTTCCAACTGGTGTTTCGGGGCTTTTAGGATATATTCCCAGAAGTGGGATCACTGGGTCAAACGGAAGTTCTATTTTTAATTTTTTGAGGAAACTCCATACTGTTTTCCACAGTGGCTGTACCAATCTGTGTTCTCATCGGTAGTGAACTAGTGTTCCTTTTTCTCCACATCCTTGCCAACACTTGTTGTTTGTTGATTTTTTCATAGTAGCCATTCTGACAGGTGTGAGGTGATATGTCATTGTGGTTTTAATTTGCATTTCTCTGCTGATTAGTGATTTTGAGCATGTTTTCATGTGTCTCTTGGCTATTTGTATGCCCTCTTTAGAGAAATCTCTATTCAGGTCATCTGCCCATTTTTTAAATTGAATTGTCTTCTTTTTGTTGAGTTGTATGAGTACTTTTTATATTTTGGATATTAACCCCTTATCAGATGTATTATTGGCAAATATGTTCTCCCATTCAGTGGGTTTCCTTTTCATTTTGATGGTAGTTTCTTTTGTTGTGCAGCAACTTTTTATTTTGATATAGTCCCATTTGTTTATTCTCTCCTTAGTTTCCTTTGCCCTAGATGTATCCTTAAATATATTGCTGTGTAAGATGCCTGAGATTTTACTACCTGTTTCCTTCTAAGATTTTTATGGTTTCATGCCTTACATTTAAGTTTTTTATCCACTTTGAGTTTATTCTTGTGTATGGTGTAAGTTGGTGGGCTAATTTCATGTACCTGTCCAATTTTCCCAACACCATTTATTGAAGTGAATGTTTCTGCTCCAATGTATGCTCCTGCCTCCTTTGTCAAATATTAATTGAGCATAGTGGCCGGGCCCTTACAGATATTTAAAAAAAATTTAGTACATCACAATTCCTCACCATCTAGCACAGTTAGGATGTGATCATGTAGTACAGGTGCTTTTTACTTTCTCAGCATACTGACATTTGGAAGAGGGCCATTTCCTAAATAAACAACACAGCACATCATGAGAGCATTTCATCTGCCCTAAACTGCATTCTAGTTCCTGACTTGGGGAGATGGCACTACAGGAATATTTAGAAAGCACTGTTTTAGGCTGTAAGACAGTGGTTCTCAACCTTCCTAATGCCGCAACCCTTTAATACAGTTCCTCATGTTGTGGTGACCTCCAACCATAAAATGATTTTCATTGCTACTTCATAACTGTAATTTTGCTACTGTTATGCATCGTAATGTAAATATCTGATAAGCAGGATGTATTTTCATTGTTACAAATTGAACATAATTAAAGCATAGTGATGAATCACAAAAACAATATATAATTATATGTGTTTTCCAATGGTCTTAGGCGACCCCTATGAAAGGGTCGTTCGACCCCCAAAGGGGTTGTGACCCACAGGTTGAGAACCGCTGCTGGAAGAAGTAGTCTAAATTGTCCCAGTGAATGTAAAGTAGCAGACCACTGTCATCAAACCTCACAGCCATCCTTGAGGGTGGAGGCCGGGGTTGCGGGCTCATGGAGCTGTAGGGAATTGGGGGGTTGAATGTCACCCAGAGCTTTTCCACCCAAGGGCCAATTCTGTTCTGCCTCTCTGGGGCTATACAGGGGGAAGGAAACAGTTCTTCCACTAACAGGCAGGCAGGTCTCTGCTGGCTCATCCTTCATTCTCTATTCTCAAGAATACCTTTGAAAGTCTAGTCTTCCCCCATTTCACATCATTCACTTCTGGTTGACAGGCAATGCACAGTTCTTGCCATCACACTTCTGGGTGCATTTCTATCGGTCTGAATAGTTTTGAACACCTCTGAAGGTTGCACAGACAGCAGGCCTCTCCTTGTCAAACACCCAGGAAAGCTAGGTCTGGATTATAGCTGTTGCCCTCCCTTGCAGGCCTAGGGGACCTTCCTTGAAGTCTCTCAAGTGTTGCACCTCACTTTACCCCCACCCAAGGCTGTGTGACTGGCCCCAGCTCACCCTAATAGTGGATGATGGGACTGCTATTGAACCCAAACCCAAGTCCAGAACCAGGCACCTAATCTGGGGTAAGCACATCCTATGGGTTCACGCTGTTAAAGTCACTAGGCATCGCAGGCCTGTCTTGGGGGTACTGGAAAGTTAAAGCATTGGACCCCAATCTCCCGAAGTCCTCAAAGGCAGGCACTGAACCACAGCAACACAGCCAGGCTTCTGAGTTTTTATTTTCTGTTTATTTTTTGACTGTGAAGATGAGACTCAACAAGTCACAAAGGAAACTCTTATGCCCTGAGCCAGGTGTCCCGCTGCAGAGGCAGGTGGGAGGCGAGGCCCCGACCTGACCAGAGCCTGGGGCATGTTTTTCAGAGCAGGAGAATTTTTTGACAAATGTTGACATTTTACAGTGTAAACAGAGACTTGGCTAAACAAGCCAAGATGAGCAGGGCCAGGTTCACACCTCGTGTTCCTGCTGCTCTCTCTCCCTTCCCAGCCCCGCCTGCAGCAGGAGAAATACCAGGGCAGGTGACAATACCAAGACATTTCTATAAAAGCAATGGAAAAGAGCAGATAACTCATTAAATACATTCATTTTGGCTCTTTGTTCCAATATCTAAATACTCAGAAGTAATCAGAGTGAACCTGAAAGGGAGGGGTACCATACTCTAGCACCATTTATGCGAAGGCATTTTTCAATATAATACAACTGTTAAAATTAAATACAAAATTACTTTATTAAGTTCAACCACAGGGAAACGACTGCTGACTTGATATTTCAAGCCCGGACCCGGACCGTTTCCTTGCTGTTACCCATGTTTTGGCAATTTCATTCCTGACCCAGACTTACACCCAAGAAATCAACAAGACTGAGATAAAACTCCAGTCAATGTTCTCCATTAATAGCTCTGGCTATTAATAAGCATTTGAAATATTTAAATATACAGGTGGCCATAAGGCCTGGGAACAGAGACATATACAATAGTTTGTTGATATAACATTCCAATACAATTAATGTATTTTCAGATTTAATGGCCACTCTGTATAGTTTAATTATACACATTAACCCATTCCACCATTCCCAGTCATAAATTTCAATTTACCATGAAAAAAAATATAAATGGGACAGCTCCCCTCCACCCTACCCAATTCTGTTGGGCCCCCTGCTGTAGGCCTCCGGACATAAGACAGTCACTATGTGACTTCAGCACACATACATTTACATACATGTATGTGCTTGCATGCACGTACAACACACACACACCTCCTGGGCATGGCGAGCCCACCTTGCTCCCAATGCTACTGCCACTAGGGTGCTGGGCAGGCAGTCAAATTAGTTTAGTTTTGTGTTTTCCATGGTTCCAGGTTATAAATAGAATTACACAAATGTTAAAAAGAGGTGCTCATCTTTATTCTCTGTACAACTCAGCACTGGCTCCCTGGTCTCTTCACCCCTCAGAAGAGATCACCAATGAGGTTGCCCAAAGGCATTAAATGTTACACTTCTGTTACATGGGGACTTAATAAACTTTAGAAAAAGGAATGTGCAGAATCCACCCACATAAATCCTTCCCTCTTTCAGACTTGTATTCTTTTATAACTTAAACCCAGGAGGTGTGCAAGGCATCTGTTGTTTCGTTTCTACGTAGCATTTCTTATCTAAAATCAGTCCTCCTTCGGTTCACTTTGTACAATTCCTTGGGCCATTTTTAAATGACTTGACATTGGACTCTGCTTCTGCTAAACTATTTGGGGACACTCCAGGCCTTTCACACATATTTTAGATTCACTTCACAGTAGTCACAGATCTTTTTAAAAAGGCATTTATTTTTATGTATGCCTACAAGTGAGATGCCCTAGAGGTATATACTAGTACTTTTGAAAATAACTTTCTGGCTTTCAAGGGGGAGTACCTGCAAAGTGTTGCTTAAGAAAGAGAGCAAAGAAGATAATCTAACTTTATTTTAACATCAGAAAGGAGAACAGCCAGGAAGCCTACTGGAGTCCTTCATCTATGCCGATGGTAAAGGCGCTATATCATTAAATGCAATGATGTCATTTTCATAAGCACTTCAGTCAGGGAAGATCTTCAAAAGCGAAACTACAAGGAAAACGGCATGTGGGGGTGAGGGTGAGAGCAGGAGGACTAGCACAGCCTCTTAAAACAAAAACACTAAAAAGAAAACAAGCACATAACCCGCAAAGGCCGTTTCTCCCATCAGAGGTGTTAGTGCACGTGGCCTGAGATTCTACCTGTTAAGACTAATGAATGAACACAAAGGCAATGTCTGTTTTTCTTACATTTTCACATATGCCGTATTCGAAGGAAGAGGAACTGCAAGCATTTCAGATCAAATTCCACCTACGTCTAGATCACAAGTGAAAAACCACACACTGGCCTCATGTTCTCACTGCCGACATCACCGTTCCACGTGTATGGGTGAGACGAACAGCTGTATATGCAGGTGAGGAGGGGAGCCAGAAAAAATTCTGAAGGAGCAAAGCTAATGCCATGGAACTTGCTACACAGAAATTCTTTTTTATTTAAATGTACCTTAAATGAGCTCAAAGGTGTAAGTCATGCCTGCTTAAGGTGGAGATTATCTTTCTGCCAAAATCATAGGGTCCAAAATCTCTGAACTCTCGCAATAAACTCTGGGATTGAAAGTAAGCACAGTGCAGTTCCCACTAACTTTCCTTCTAGATACTTTATCATTTTAGAGGTCCTTCTAAATAACTGTCCTCTTGAATCCATTTTGGTCTCAATTTAATTTCTATTCTGCTCATGTCACTGACCAGCCCAAGACCAGGAATGAGAAATTGAATTAGGACTCTGAATAACTGAAGTTGCATGTTGCAACAAACAAATGTTATTTTTAAAGATGGCCAATCATCTATATTTCCTGAAGCACTGTTTCATAGACAGCTTTGCTCCTCTTATGCTGTGATCCCGCTAAGCCTGGACGATGTCTGAGAGCAGAGTCCATCCAATAAGGCCTTAGGACAGAAAACCAGTTAAACTTACCTTTTTGAATTTTTATCAGTGTAGGAGTAAAGACCACAATTTAACAATATCATACATAGAAACAAGAAAAAAGTATAAAATGTAAACAATTAAGTTGCCCAGAAGTCCAGTTCAAGTTCACTGAGATTAGATTATTTTCAAAATTCAAAGACAGATGATCATGAGTATCATTAAATTCAATGGTGGGTATGAACAAATGGTCAGAGGAACACAGACCCCTGCTGCCTTGTTCAACCTACACATTTGAAGTTCGCTTTTAAAAATATTCAAGAATGAAATGTTATGTGTTTCCTGTTATGTTACAAATACTAAAATGAAGCATCAGAGTCAACAAGAAGTCATTATTATTACTTAAACTTGGCTTCTAAGCACCTCCTATCCAGGCACCATTGCATTTCACAGTGAAAAACACAAGCTTCCCCAATCCACACACATTTAGAGCAGAATTTGATTCAGAGAATTAGCATCTACCAAATGTGGTGACTATTACTGATGAGGTCATGGGGAAAATACTAACGTAACAGTCTGAATAGTTTTGTGTGGCCTCTGAGTTTTCTCAACTAAGAATTTGAAGTGAAAGCAAAACTTAGATTTTCAAAAAAGGTTCGCCCCTCTGAAAAAACACAGATTAGAGAGCTTATAAACTATTAAACTGCACCAAATAAAGATTTAAGTTATTTTAAAATAAAGCTCAGTGCTTCAGGGAAACACCATCTCTACTAATGCTGAGCCAATTCAGGTGCTGCTGGTACAACCCTAAAGAGTGACGTGTCTGGTAACTGTGAGCACTGTCCACGCCTCACGTGGACAATTCAGGTCCTAATGCAGGCCACACTCAGAGAGGCTGCCCCATAACCACCACCCAGTCACCATGCAGGCAACTGCTCAGGGCCCAGAACACTGCCTCCCTCAGGTTTTCCAAACCAAATCAGGGACAGATGCAGCATAGCCATACTTTTGCACTGTTTTAGTACGCACTTCTGCTTAAACTAACTCATGAAAAACCTTAGCTACTCTGCTGTTACTCATCCCCTGCCAGCAGATGAATTTGGCAATAGAAACATCCCAAAAAATAGTAGGAAAAGGGCACAGGAAGACCTGGATCCAGCTTATCCCACCCCTAAACTCAGATATCTGAGTGCTTGCAGTCATTTGGCCTTGGTTTCCTCCTCTAAAAACGCAGGTAGATCGGAACTCTGTTCTGACTATAATAGTGAACCTATGGGCCACAGAGTAATAAACAGCCCAACACTAGAGCACACCACTTGCACCCAGCACCAGACCTGGTGTGGCTGCGGCCTCAACACTGGTCATGTCGTCGAAGAGCAAGGATTTACAGGTGCCATCGTCTCCTTCCTGCTCCTTCTCCAGCCTTTAAAAAACCAATTCTCAATCATCTATTAAATGATCTGTTTAAGGTAGCTTTAATTAGTATATAAATCCAAACCCCTGCTTGCCAAGACTATCAGAGGATGTCGAGACTGCCATTAGCAGAATCCATCCCAGAATTATACCACGTAAGCAGACTGCATTGGAAGGGCACCACAGAGACCCATTACCACAAAAACAAAAAAATTACTATTAAAAAAAAATTTGAAAGCCAGTTTACTAATAGAGAAAGTTTGGTTTGAGATATAAAGAATATTCTTCTGATACTAAAGTATTTGTTTTATAACAAAGATGGAGTGTGCAGCTTCCAACAGATGTGTCTCTGAAAGGCCCCACTAAAACATATTGCATCATAAATGAGAAGAAAACTTGGTTAACTCATTATCAGAAGCTAGTCTTCAGAACATCCCAGGCCAGCTTGGCTCACAGGGTCCAAGAGTCCACGTAATTCATTCTAAGAGACCAGCAAGCCGAGGCCCAAGCTGAGGAGCAGCCTGCACACCTTGGTCCTGCTGCCAGGCTGTCCGGGTGTATGTCTCTCACAAACTCGTCTCCTCACACACCCTGACGGGGATGTTGTAATGCCGATCGTCCTCGGCAATCAGGGTCACCACCGGCCAGTCCCTGGGTGGGTCTGTAGGGTAGACCGTGATGAACTCCTCAGTGCTGTACTTGGAGAGCCGGTACACCTGGATGGTGTGGCGCACAGCATAGGCCAGAAGGAACATTTCAATCTGCGGAGGAGAGCAAACAGGTAAGGGAAGGGCAGCCACCCTGAAAGATGCTGCTTACCTCCTGCTCCATCCCAGGTGTCCCAGGCCATGCCAGCTAAGCAAAAATCCTTCTTCCTCCCCATGGACCAGCCCCAGTCCTCTCATATGGTCGTTGTAAACAAGCAAACGACCAAGAATGGATCGTGTCTGATGAGGGACTTGTAACCAGAATTTATCACAACTCTTACAACTCAATAAAAAAAACAAAGGACCAGTTTAAAAACTTAGCAAAGGGTCCGAACAGACAGTTCTCCAAAGAAGATACACAAATGGCCAATGTGCACATGAAAAGTCATCAAGGGAATGGAATCAAAACCATGGTGAGATACCGCGTCACACCCTCTGGAATGGCTCCAATCAAAAAGACAAAAGATGCGGGGGAATGACTGCTTACCGGGTATGTTTTTCTTTTCAGGCATGAAATGATTTGATACAGGTAGTGGTCACACAACACGTAAATGTACTAAAGGCCACTGAGCTGTACACTTTAAAATGGTTACTTGTATGTTATGTGAGGTGTAGATGTGGGACTCAGAAACACTGCAGGTGGGAATGACCAATGATACAGCTGCTCCTCAACACTAAATAAAGAACTGCCATATGACCCAGCAATTCCACTCCCAGGTACATACCCAAGAGAACTGAAAAAATATGTCCACACAAAAAACTTGCACATGAATGTTCAGAGCAGGATTTTTCAAAATAGTTAAAGGAATGAACCAAATATCCATCAACTGATGAGTAGATGAATAAAATGCGATATATCCATACCATGGAATAGTATTTGTCAATAAAAAGGAATGAAGAATTGACACATGATACAATATGCATGAACCTTAAAAACACTAAGCTGTAAAAGAAACCAGTCACAAAAGACCACATATTGTATGAGTTATGATTCCATTTATATGAACTCTCTCCATAGTAGGCAAATCTAAGGTGACAGAAAGTAGATTACTGGCTTCCTAGGACTGGGGGGAGTAAGAATGGGTCTGAGGTTTCTTTTAGGGGTGATAAAATGGTTTAAAATTAGACTGTGATGGCTGCAAACATACTAAAAAACCATTGAGCTGCATACTTTAAAAGGGCAAACTTTACGGTCGGTAAATTATCTCAATAAAGCTGTTTTTTAAACATTGGACTCTCCATGACAGCAGACCTTGTGGAGATCCAGAAAGGACTAACATGCAAAACACCCTCTACCAGGCTTTTCACTGCAATGTACTTGCTACTGTTCAGGAGACATTAGGTAACTTACACTACAAGTATAGGTTATTTTAAATAATTATCTTCAATCCTGCCTGACCCAGCATGACCATCATCTTTGCTCTTTCAGACAGACCAGGAAAAGGCAAGCCAAAGAGCCAGCCATGGAAGAAGAAAGGAAGCACTTTGGAAGGCTAGCCTTAATGCAACTTTAGTGGTTGGCTATTCCACTAAAAAAAGACATAAGCTTTTTAGGGCAACGTAATGAACTCACCAAAGACAGAGTGCAAAGTAAGCCAACCGTTGCGTCCTGGGACAGTACTGTATTGGGTCTCTGTGTAAAATTCCAAACTTAGTGTATGTGTAAAAGATCCAAGAGCAGGCTGCGCTCTACTGGCTAAGGTGACCCCATTTCTATTTTTAAAGGATCATAGCTAATACAGCTACAGCTGCCAAGATTAAACACCCTTCACATGACTCTTTTTTTTTAGACTACTAGATTCAAAGATACTGATCCCATTACCACCTGCAGAAGCAAACCCAGGCTGAGATAACCATGTTGGTCCTGAAATAGATTCACAATTCTGTAAGAGTGGGGTGAACTTGGTGACTTGCTAACAAATATAATATGGGTAAGTGTGATGGGGTGTGACTTCTAAGATTAGATCGTAAAAGGCATTGTGGCTTCTTTTCCATTCTCTCCTTGAATTACTTTCTGAGAGAAGTCAGTTGTCATGTTGTGAGGAACTCACACAGCCCTATCTGTATAAAGCCCCACATGGCAAGGAACTACCCCCTACCAGTGAGAAACTGAGGCCTCCCACCAATAGCCAGGTGAGTGAGCCATGTTGGACATGGATCCTCCAACCCGAGTCAAGTCCTCAGATGATTGCAACCTGAAACCTCAAGCCCAAGTCACCCACTAAGTTGCTCCTGAATTCCTGACACTCAAGCACTATGAGATAATGTTTGATGGTTAATGCTGGTGTTTGGGGATAATACGCAAGGGTATAACTCACCTGTTCGAGGCCACCAGTGTGTCCCACCTGATTTAGATGGTTCCTCAGTAGCTGTCCAGGGTCACTGGATGTGTCCCGAGCAAACAGAAGCACAGAGAAAAATGGTACGTCCTCTCCCTTCTCTTTATCATCATATAGTTCAATGGCTCTGTGTAACATTAAAAATTTTACAGCTTCATAAAGGCTATATTCTTCCTCTTCATTTGTGAACAGTTCATCACAAGCTATCTGCCTTGCTTCAGCAGTTCTCAGTTCAGCCAAGCCTGCCCACTGCAATAAAAAAGTTACATAATAGTTACATTTTTGTTCTAAAAGTCCCTGGTATACTTCCATACTTTGAGCACAAAATCATTTTCAAAAGTAGGCAACCGAGGGTCACAACATTCAAGTTTCCAGCTCAAACAATGGTACTACTCTTTAGACCACACAAAATCCTTATTCAGTTTCTGCCCCATTAATTTGAAACAAAAGTACAATGCACTAAGAAGAAGCACTGGGACTGTGGAATGGCAATTTGGAACCCTGACTTCAGGCAATGAGACTCAATCAATCAAATATTTATGGAAGACCTAACGTGCATGTGTGAGTCCTGGGTGTGAAGCTGTGAAGAAGAGCTAAAATTACTTCTCTCTATAAGGGGGCTTACAGTTATCCAGAAACCTTCAAAAATGAAGATGGGCAAGGACGATTAGGGGATCTCCTAAATATTAGTTTACTAAATTTAACCTTCTAACCTCTCAGACGTATACGTGAGTTTCAAATGAATAAATCCATTCAGGAAATTCTAATTGACTCCTGATTAAGAATAGAGTAGTGTCAGGTATTCAGCTAAAATAGGCACACTCTTTATGTGAACAAGAAAACCCCATAAATACATGTACTTTTAAGTTAAATTAGAATAAAAGATGCCAATATGAAACTAGTCCTTAGGAATCACCAATAACTACCGCTCCCTGAGAACCTAGTAATATTTTAAATCCAAGAGTAAATTTTAATGGTAATGACTGCACCACAGGACTCTCTAACAAGTGGGCTGAAAGCTGGAACACCTCATTTTCCAGTAGACAAGTTGCCAGTCAAGAGCATAGCTCTAGAGTCCGGATGGAATGACGGCCTCACCCAAGCAGCTGATGGCTTTTACAGGGCATTAACCAATTGTGGGGCCTTAGTTTTCTTAGCTGTAAATATGGGGTAACCATAGCAACACCACCTTGGTAGTTGCAAAAATTAAATACATACAACTTTTAGTGTACGGCCTGGCCCATAGAAAGTGCTGGGAATGTAGCTCAGATTATTAATAATTTTCACATTACTATAAATTGGAATCACTTAAACATTCCCCAAAACGAGGATCCAGTCACTCTAGACACACCTAAAAAAAATTGCAATTTCACAAGAACTTAAAGGAGGTAAAAAGGAAATCACAAGTGACTGAACTGAAGAGCCTTCTCACTCACTCCCACAGGGCCAGAGCCCTGCCCTCAACCCTCCACTTTCCCGGGGACTAGGCAGCACAGGTCTCCAACCCCCACAAATCCTGTGCTCTGCTTAACAGGCAAGAACAACAGAATCCCTCTGTCTTTCTTGTCCTCCCATTTCATCACTGGTGTTCCTGTGACAGTGTATTCTGCAGTAAATACTTCTATGATTGCAAACCCAAACTAGGTTCCAGGAAGTCAGGTCCTCAGTCCATCCATCAACAAGGTATTTACCGAATGCCTATTATGTGTCAGGCTCAGGTCTAGGCACTGGGTATAAAGAAATGACGTCTTTCATGAAGCTGAAAGTCTAATGGGACATGAATTCGTATCACTGATATTACGGTAAGAAATTTGGACTGTCCCTAGCCGGTGTGGCTCAGCTGGTTGAGCGTCATCCTGTGCACCACTGAAAGGTCACCAGTTCGGTTCCCAGTCAGGGCACATGCCCAGATTGTGGACTTGATCCCTGGTTGGGTGCATGTAGAAGGCAGCCAAACCATGTTTCTCTCATACTGATGTTTCTCTGTCTTTTTCTTCCTCTCCCTTACTCTCTCTCAATTCAATAAAAACATTAAAAAAAGAAAAATATGGACTAAATGTATCACTGAAACTTGTCAGTATGACTTAGCACAAAGACTATATTTGTTATGGTTTCCTTTTAAGATAGTTAAACAATTCATTAAACATATCATCTCCTCCAAGAATACTTGATGTTGATATTTCTCAATTTTACCAAAGACCTCACAGGAAGGGTTTGTGTTCATCCAAAATTATTTTGCCTAAAAACCAGCCAAGAACATCTGGTAATCCACTAAGTGAGAACTAAGAAGTGGTCTGCTGAGGGGGATAAATGGTGATGGAAGGAGACTTGACTTGAGTGGTGAACACATAATACAATATATAGATGATGTATTATAGAATTGTATACCTGAATCCTATATAATTTTATTAACCAATGTCACCCCAATATAGTCAAGAGAAAAAAATGGTCTGCTGGGGCAATTAGGAGCAGGAGCTTTTGCACTTCACAGAAAAAGAAAATTACAGGTTCCAAACCTTCTTTCTTAGTAAAGTGAGGGACTCCTTAATTTTATCAACCAGGTCCTCGCTCTTCCCCTCAAATTTCAATCCAAGTTTCCACTGCTTGATCCAGCTGTATTTGCTTATGAGTTTTTCTGGTAACTGGAGTATGAAGAAACAGAGAGACAAAGAACATTAACCCTCCAAAAAGTCCATCACATGAACCAAGCTGTAAGAAACCACAAAGCCCTCTGTCCTTCTCTTTCTCCCATTTCGTTATCACTAGAGTTCCTACCTTCTTTCCAGAATTAATCCCTGCAAACCTGTCATGTGGGTTTAGGCTGGATCACCTAAACCTGGAAGTCAGGAACTCAGAAAGTACTGCCCTAAGGAGGACTGCTAGAGTGAAATGAAGGTTTGGGTTGAGATACAGGAGCTCAATATAGCCTGCACAACCACCCCAGCCAGGAACCCTGCACAGCACTTTGTGAGTGTACGTGAAGGAGCCTCTTCACAAAAGCCTCCAGCAGCTGCTGGGCCTTTGGCAGCCTCCCTAGCGCTCCATACTGCCTGACTCTGGAAGGGGCTCCAGGACTTGTGAGACGATCCAGGATAAAGTAAAAACCTGCTCCCTTCCTGATTGGGAAAACAAAACCTAATTTTGATATTAACACATATACTCAAAGTTTTAATATTCAATGAAGCAATATTGTATCTAGTTCCACTGCTTAGTATAGTAAGATAAAAAACAGCACTGAGAATAAGAAGTAGGGGTTAAGGGAGCTGTGATGGCCTAGCTCAGTGGTCGGCAAACTGCGGCCCCTTGAGTGTGGCTCTTTCACAAAATACCACGTGCGGACGCACACATACAGTGTGATTGAAACTTAGTGGCCACACTGAAGGAGCCAAAGAGCCGCATGTGGCTCGTGAGCTGCGGTTTGCCAACCACGGGCCTAGCTCATTAAAGAAGTGACAGCTGAACTCATACTTTGCCTGCTTCTCTTTTGTTATTTCCCCCCAATCATCAGTGGAATCTGTAGTCTGAAAGGCAAGATGGGACACAACTTGATGGATGACAGCATGGGAACTCACTCTCCCAACAGTCTCCGGTGTGCCAGGAGAAAAATCCATATTATTAGGTTGGGCACAGGCATGTCGTGTCACTGCTATAAAATTTAAAGAGGAAAAAAAAGTTCATCTCCATGTCAAAAGATCATTAAAGAATAATTATTTCCTACAACATCCTATGCGGACCCTGAGCTTATTTAACAGTTACAAATAGGTTTTTTAAAAACTGTGTTTTTATTGATTTCAGAGAAGAAGGGAGAGGGAGAGAGAGATAGAAACATCAATGATGAGAAAGAATCATTGATTGGCTGCCTCCTGCACGCCCCCTACTGGGGATCGAGCCCACAACACGGGCATGTGCCCTTGACCGGAATTGAACTCAGGACCCTTTAGTCCAAAGTCCGACGCTCTATTCACTGAGCCAAACCGGCTAGGGCATAAACGGTTTTAAAGGAGACCATATGTTCAGTTCTTCCGGAATCTAAGATCCTGCCTACCCTTTCATAATGGTAATTCCAGTCTTACCTTCTTAGTCTATACCAGGGGTGGGCAAACTTTTTGACTCGAGGGCCACAATGGGTTCTTAAACTGGACCGGAGGGCCGGAACAAAAGCATGGATGGAGTGTTTGTGTGAACTAATATAAATTCAAAGTAAACATCATTACATAAAAGGGTACGGTCTTTTTTTTTTAGTTTTATTCATTTCAAACGGGCCGGATCCGGCCCGCGGGCCGTAGTTTGCCCACGGCTGGTCTATACCAATCATGTAAAACAAAAGTGGTTTCATCTCTACAAAAAACTAAACCACCATTGGGATGTAAATTCCTCTTGCAGTTCCCACAGTGATGCTCATCCACACTCACTCATAAGGGGGAAGGGGCTTATAATGACAAATGACCACCCACCCACGAGCCACCCAACTTCATGCCCACACGGTCCTGCATTTTGGCAGCATGTGGGCAGCTCTGCTGCAAACCTTCAATTAAGTTCTGTTTCATCCAGAACCTAAAATGCCCTCAAGTGGCAACAAGCTGAAATCACAACTGGGCACAGAGAAGTGCAAGTGAGCAGAAAATCTTGGCTACACAGATGTGAGCCGAGAACCGAGTAAAGGGAAGCCCATAAGCCCATCTGAGCATCACGGGACACTGTGCAGGTATCCAAAAAGCAGGCACAACACTCAACTGAATTACCCGGGAGACCCCAAAGACCTAACTATGTAGACAGAAACCCAAATAAAAGTCCGTCTCCTCAATCCTTCTATGTATTGCTCAGTGTTGCTAGAGCAATCCTCCAACTCAGGGTGCATAGTTCTGGGAGACAGTGGAGCAAGTCCAAAAAATAAGGTGTGAAAAAGAAAATACAAAGAAAAAAAAATAATTGAGTTGGAATTATTTATTCAGAAGAAAAGAGTGAATATAATTTTAAGTGCTTTCAGGGCTCATAATACATAGAACACATAAATAGCCATTCTTTTCTCCTGCACCTTAAGAGACTGGACTTCTGTTATAAATTTGACCAAGAAACAAGACTTAAACAAGAAATAATGCTGGAAAATATTTAAGAATAAAATGGTAATTAGCTTAAGTATAATTCAATTTGTGACTGAATTATAAAAACACCCTGTTTTCTCTAACAAGTCTATAATTCTTGAAACCAACACCATGATTAAAAGGGTAGCAAATAAAAATGTGTCATCCCTAAAACTAACTCATAAAATAAGTTTCGATATACCGTAGAGTCTAACCCACTCTAAGCAAACACTGCCACAGGTCCCACCCACTCAGAGACATTCTAAAGCTTAGAAAACTTGGAAAGCAAAGGACTACCCTGAAGGACACCACCTCTCAGGGACCCATGCCCTGTTCCAAGTTTAAGAACAGCCACACCACGCACCTCCAAGGTTGTTAGGTAATCTGACTGCAGTCAAATATCAAAACTGGGATCTGACAGATGCAGAAACAACACATAGGGAGCCCAGGCAAGGACGGGAGGCGAGGGACAGCTGAACTGTCCAAGGGGCAGTGAGGACAAAGCTCAACCTTTCAGGCGGGGAAGGAGAGGCCAGAGGAGCTGAGCACAGGCAGAAAGGCAAGTCCAGGCTCTCTCCACTGAGATCAGACTAAGGGGAGGGGCTCTCAGCCCAGCTCTCCCGCATCCCCTTCCATGTCCTATTCTAGGAGAGAGGGAAGAGGGCAAAATGCAACAGGGAACACTTTCAATACAACTAGGCGAAAGGGCACGTGTTCCTTGGTAACAAAAGACGGCTTCCCTGGGCTCACACAGTCTTGATGGAATGTACACTAAGGTCAAGGGATGTTTAGCACAGCACAGCCGTGGGCTGAGGCTGGTTCTGGGTTCACACAAAAACTTAGGTGTCCCAGGACCTGTCTGACCCCAAAAGCTGAAGAAGTGGGTTACTTAAGCCAGTGCAGTTCAGGAGACTCTGATAACGCTGTCTGACCCCAAAAGCTGAAAGGTGAGTTACTTAAGCCAGTGCAGTGCAGGAGACCCTAATACTGACACCAGATTCCCTCTAACCTGCCTGCCGGGGCAGCCTTTCTGTGTCCCCACAAGTGGCCAGGACTTTTAAAAGGCCAATGGACACACAATAACCAGAGGTGTTGTGCCATGAACTGGCCAGGCCATAGGACTGTCACTGGACACAGGGTAGTGGTCAAAAGAGGCCCTTGGTATTTCAGAAAGACCAAGGATCAGGGTAAACTGAGAGAGATCCACTGTCAGAGACTTATTGTGGGCGTGGTCCAAGTAATTAATATACCAAGCCGACCCAATTTTAACACAAATAATTTACACCAAGTTCTAACAGCAAGCAGAGTGTTACTTAATGTGACACAATACAAGTTATTCTGCTCTATCAGGAAGATGGGGAGGAAATGGTCACACTCACTTTCATACCAAAACCTCTGTAAGATTTTGTTATGTAGCCAGAGAATTATTTAAGTTTCACTTGATCTGCTTGTCTTAAGCATCTGTGTTAACAAATAAATATTAAGATGTTTACTTATTACAGAGTTACACAAGTAGTTCCTAGAGATGGAGAGACCCCATTTCTGGAGCAAGGTGATCCAGGTACCCCAACACCCTAGGGTGCACTGCCAGCCACAGAAGGCCTCACCACCCCTCCGTCTATGCACTTAGTTCCACCCCAACATCTTCTGGTCATGCTGCGCCACCCACTCCCTCACTCAATCTGGCCCTTGTCGGTGAGAACAGGAGTGCAATGGCATCCTCAGAGAGCACGAGGGGCAACTGGGAGGTGCTTAGAAAATAGCTTGGTCAAGTGCAACAACCAAGTCTGGTACCCCTTCCTGCTCTGGCACCACAAATATGAAGCATGTGGTGCATCGGTCACCTGATCAAGCGATCAGCAAAACTGACCCTGTAAAAAAAAGTGCTCAAACCAAGGAAAGTTGCTGGGGGTTGGGAAGCCAGAAGGAGAACAAGTCTTCTAGTTAGAGGAGAACAAGAAAAGAATAGTCATTTCTTTAGCTGGCATTAACAGAACGAAAGTTTAATAAACTTAAATACTAAAGTCACAGGCAGGCATGAGGTGCTTCTTCTATGGCACGGGCCTCTTGGCATTCAATAAAGGTTACATGACAAAAATAATGCCAATAATACCACTGTGACCAACTAATCAGATTATGCTCCAAGAGAGAAACTGTATTTGTTGGCTGATATTCACAGAAAAGGGAAGAAATTGGGAAGAGCACTTGAGAATTTAAAAACTATTTCCACATGACTCAAATGAAATCAGGAAAACCATCTTAAAGCCCCATTGCTCATTCACGCAACATATTCTAATGGTGATCAGAAAGCAAGCACAATCCACCTTGACTGCTTTTACTACCTATAGGCATCCTGTCAATAAAGTAAAAGGGACACTATGCTTTACTTTCACGGGGCATATTCTATATGTTTAATTATACAGCACACTACTGTACCAGAGTTTCTTGGGAAATATAAAAATTCAAATTCATTATGTCAATTAAATCCATACATTTAAACAGCCCCTAAAAGAAAAAGGCTCAAAGAAAAAGGCTCAGCCTAAAACAAGGAGGATTTTATGTCACAATCTATTAAATTATGACAATCAAACACTGAAGTTAAAGCAAAAAAAGAGTGAAATCACTCACATTTGCTTCCCTAAGTGTCTTATAGCCAGCCACAGGCATGCTTTTGCCAAGTAATCAGCAATTCTGAAATTTTTCACTACCTATAAATGTCATGATTTGCAAAGGACAAAATAGCCTTGTGGATCAATTGCTTTTGTTTCTATATTTTTTAAAAAAGTCAATAAGCTAGTACTGAGTAACCTGCTTAAGATAACATATCTTTGCTTAGAAAAAAAATAGCTTTCACAGTTTACACAGGTGTGCTGATATATATCGGTTTATAAAACGGATAATCACAGGATGGACAGGTAGTATCCTCCACCCACTGGTCCTGGTTTTGCCCACTGAGGGCGTGTGATCGTTCATCCACCTAATAGACCTCTAATTAGTTCAGCTGGCAGCTAAAAATCCTCTTTCTTTTAGGCCCCTTCAACTTCAAGTACCCCAGCTCCTTCACTGTTCCCAAAACGAGATGAATCGTCATGGTCACACTCCCATCTGCTCTGAGGAACGGCAGAGTTGCACTTGCTCCTTGAGATGGGAGCTGACCAGCGCAGTCCAAGATGGGCTGTTGCTGTTGGAAGCGCACCTTTAAAGCAGGGCTCCCCTACCACTGCTGGCCATCACGTCACTCGGGCTTATGTGGGGCTTGCAATCAATTAAGATCCTCATGTCCTTTTCCCCCTCATAAGTTGCCAGCAAAGTGGATGTCCCACAGCTAGCACTTTGGGTTTTGTTTTTGCTTTATAAAAAAATATAAGCAACAAGACTTCCAATTTTCTTCTAATTATGCCCTATTGTCAGTTTTGCTCAATCATTCCCACCCACCAAACTCTTTTGGGGTATTCTATTACCCAACCTATGATGTGACCTCATCTGATGTGTGTGGACACACAACACAATGAGACATGATTTCCTGGGTGTCACTACCACATCTCAGGTTTAAACCACTGGCAAAGGCCTAGCATGGGACACAGCCTGACCTTCACCTCCCCAGGAAGCCCCTCCCAGGGTAACATCAATCACCCGATTCTAGTGCTGCTGCTCAACCACCTACGAAGCCAATCCTCCTAACACTGCACAGAGGGTGCTAGTTTCTTGAACTGGAGCTGGAATTACAGGAATGTGCACCCTAAAGCCCCAGCAGGTTCTCAGAAAGACCAATACACACTCCATTTAATTCAGCACCAGCAAGGAAGCTAAACTGCTCCTTTACAAACTCTTAACGCCTGCTCACTAATTCAGCTCAACTGTTCAAATAAACTTTATCATTTTTCTCTTCTGGGAAATACTACTTTTGGTCACTTTTACTATGCAAAATCATCCCAACCACACAAAACCCAATGAACCCACATGCTGACGTTATATTGCACACAGGGCTAGCACAGAGCACCGGCAGAAAAGGGAAGTCTTTCTCACAGAAATGATTGGAAACATTACGGACGCAAACCTGCAGCAGCAGCGTACCAGCGTGAGCTCCGGGTCCTGCAGCCAGGAGGGCAGCCCCGCTGGCTGGCTCATGGCCTGGAACAGCGTGGCCCTCAGCGCACAGTAGTTATCTCCGCGGACTCGCCTTATGGAGGTGAATTTCTGAGATACCTCTTCGTAGCCCTGGGTGAAAGCATCAAAGAATTCAAAATGGTTGTTACTAACTTCAGGGAGAGTTTTATTCCTGTGGAAAAATGTGCCCCTGAAAGACTGTAAATAAGACTGGTTGAGTCCTTCATGTAAAACATTCTAATTCCTTATTAATCAAAAGATATTAACAAACGTTAGTACTGTACAAAATATCAGCATGTTAACAGATGCAATACACTATAACATATAAATAATACACCAAGTATTATTAAAACACTAACCACTCCCAAAGCTGGAGTTATATATGTCCCTTCCTAAGCAATTGTTGTATTGATAACCGAATGTATGGATAATTTTAATTATGTATTGACTAGAGCAGCGGTTCTCAACCTTTGGGTCACGACCCCTTTGGGGGTCGAACAACCCTTTCATAGGGGTCGCCTAAGACCATTGGAAAACACATATATAATTACATATTGTTTTTGTGATTAATCACTATGCTTTAATTATGTTCAATTTGTAACAATGAAAATACATCCTGCTTATCAGATATTTACATTACGATTCATAACAGTAGCAAAATTACAATTATGAAGTAGCAACGAAAATAATTTTATGGTTGGGGGTCACCACAACATGAGGAACTGTATTAAAGGGTCGCGGCATTAGGAAGGTTGAGAACCACTGTT